TTTATTACTAAATGTTAAAAATTACAAGATTGTTTACTTTTTGTTGTCAGTTAGTTATTGTGGGTTTACATGATTAAAATCAATTTTCGTATTACTGAATGTTGTACTTTTAATTGTATAAGTGAATACACGTTATACAACTTTTTAACCTACTTTCTCAACTGCTGACTGATTTACTCAGGTTTAGAAATAAACTAAAAGCCTATTAATTGAAGAAGGCTACTACTATTGACTATTGATTGGACAGAGTACGTGATTCCAGTTCTATTCAACCAAAAAATCTAATTTCTTTGGTTAGTTGTCCTTTTACCTTAATTAAGAGATGTTCAATTCCTTCATTGTAAAGTGACGTTTCCAATATATTTTGTAATTAAGGACTTATGACTTATGTAGTTAAGCATAGAAAAAACCCAAGTGTACCCCATGAAACCCGGTTCCCATATTCCGATAATTCTGGTTCGTGACCTCTTTTGAATAATGTAGTAGGCCTTTTTACACCTAGACACGGTTTTTACCGAATTTGATCAAAATCGGATGAATTCTTTCTAATCGATTTATTGTGCTAACGGACACATACACACACACCAACACATATATATATGTTTGAACGTATGTTACTTTTGGCCTGTAATGACAAAAAATTAGTTTTACGTTACGTTCCACTACGTCATGTTTAATAAGCTATACGATGTTTTGTTATAGTTTTTAATTACATGTAGCTATATGGCGTGTTATTATGCACTGTATGGTGTTCTTTATAAAAGATTTTGTCACGAGGGCATGGCGGCTTTGGAACGGCGACAAAATGCAAATGCAGCCTCTATATTCATCGTCACGAACTCAATTATATTCCTCACTAATTATACTGACGATTCAGAGAATATTTTAAACCTGTTACTAATTGGTCGGTATTGTAGTTCAATGTTGTGATTAAAACGCAACGAGGACGATTATATGTATTATTACAAGAGTTGTTTAATGACAAATTTTATATACAGTATATATAAAAAAAAAAACAGACATAATGATAACATTACAAAAAAAAAATATATATATATATATATATACAACTGTATAAAACTTACATTCATATGTTTAAAATAAAAAACAAAATGATTTTGAAGGTTTATAAATGCACATTAACATTTTATGAAAAATTTAAATTGTCTTTTGAGAAATTTGAATGATTGATTGAAAAATCTTTTAATTATGACAGCTAGAGGAATTTAGTAGTCAATAAAAACCTTTTTTGTATGCAATAAGCATGATGGAGCGAATCTTGTACATTTTGATTTACATATCTTATACATATAGAAAATGAAACCTCTTCAAGTTTGCATCAGTACCTGATAACACAATTTTAATTCATTAAAAAACTTGCATGCATTCACGGATGTCTGATATATGTATTGGCATAAGAACTAGAACAAGTGCCAAATTCGAAATAAGATTGTATTTATTAATTTTTGCGTTTCAAATTTAAATGCACGTATCTTTTACGTTTTCTTTACGAATTCTGAACAAATAGGAGGACGCATCGTTCAGGTATTTCCAAAAGTAGTTAGTGAAGTTGAAAGTCTAAGGCAATACTTTGCAATTTTATGTTATATATGTAATTGTAAATTTCGTTCAGACAAGTAAGAAAAGAAGTAGGGTTGACCTCTGTCATACATGTTTCAATTTTATGACGTAAATCAATTAAGAACAGTGAAGCTAAGCAAAGGAGATTTTAATGGTTATATTTATGAAATTTCAAATTGCTGCTCTGTGTAATACAATAGTCATTTCCAAAAAGAACATGGTAAAAACCAATCAAACAACGTGATAGATAACCGAAGATGAGTGAGTTAGTGAAGATCGAAACTTGTTGATATAGAAATTAAGGAAGAAAATAAAATCTTATCTAGGAAAGACACATCAAAATTAGTATCGGGAATCGACATATGATGAATAAATATACACTCAAATATGGATACAGCCAATCAGTTTATAGTCAGATTGTTCTATAAACACAATATTTTGTATATATATAGTGTCATCGAGGTGAATTAAAAAAGAATGCATCTGAAACCTTTTCAAGTGTCTAAATCTCAAAGAAGATCTATTGTTTTGACAGTATTTTGCTGAACCAAATAACACAAAATGATTCAATAAATTACTACTAAATAATCGTTTTTCCTTTGCACACTTTTTATTCTATTTGTAAAGTCCACACGAAAACTGTATTTAATACAAGACAATATTTTGAAATGGCGACCATACGAAGGTAGGTATTTTAAGCCAAGTATGAATTGAGATGAGTGAAGGATGAGTGGTGCGACCTTGTAGTCCTGTTGCTGACCGACATGTTCCTTAGACAGGACTGTTAATTTACAGCCCATACGGCCAATAAGGGACCTACAGTTTATGGTGGAATCCGAACCTCATTTGTGCATTGTTATTTACGAATTGGTTTCATCATCAGAATAGTAGGCCTACGTGTCTAATTATCAGAATAGTACTGTGGATAGTCGTAGTACTCACTAGGGCATACGTAAATCCACACCAGGGAATATCGCATCGACAGATTATGCCTTAATATCCACAACTTGTGACCTCCAAGTAGCTAGGACGATAATATACTGAAATGACGAAATTGAAAAGAGTTTGCACTGTGTAAAGTTGTCAACCCACCATAAAACATTTCAATAACGGATTGGAAAGTTTTCTGTAAACTTCAATATCCAACGGGAAACCGTTCACGCGTGGATGGCCGCTGGCTTGGATGCTTGGTGCAGCATTTCACCATTTCCAATTTAAATTCTTACGGACGATTAAATCTAATTGGAAACTCGGAATAATGACTGTTGCCATTAAGGCTGGTTTATTTGACAAGATCGACGAACGCTTCGGGAACTAGATAGAAGAATTTTAATTCCAGATCAATGGTGTTTAATTTTCTTTCACGACTTATTTTCCGTAATTAGTAAACTTAACTTTGCCGCTCCGTAAAAACCGGTATTGTCAATTAAATAAAACATTTGAAATTTAATTTAGGTGCTATTGCTTACGTTTTATCTGGCTAAATTATATAAGGATAAATATTCATTTACTGCTACAACATTATCACTGTGTCTAGTCGAATTACCTTTTCTTGTCCAATAAATGACGTCTTACAAATCCACTGATTTTTGAAAATTCAAATTAATTACTTTATGCAACACATCATTTCGGTAGGCTGATAAATATAAATATAAATAAAAAATGATTGTTCATTCTGTTATACCAAAAAACAAAAAAATAGAAGAAATAAAAATAAGTAAGTATTGTTTTCCTCTAATAAACGAAAAAAATGCGATTATCTATAGACTATAAAGTTACAGCACTATTACTAAACATGTTAAATATTTTAACTATTTAACTAGTTAAAAGGGATTTTTAAATATTTTTTTCTTTCCAGGGTACTTAAATATAAAAAAAATCTTCATATAAAAATAAGAATACGAATGTCTTTTATGTGATAAAAAATTTATTGTATTAAAAACAGTGTTTCAAAAAGTTAAACGGCGTTAGTTTAAAAATACCATAAGATGACATAAGAATATATGTAAAGCAGATTAAACCCATTTTTACTTAAAGTAAAAAAATACTTACTAACAACAGTACACCTTAGTTTAATTTCAAAATACTAGTTTAAACTTCATAAACACCGTCATTGTCAGTATCATTGACCTTAAATGATAACCTTGAAAATTAACCAGTCTAACAACCGAAATTTTTTGAGTTTTTTTTTGTAACTCGATCCAAATATAACGAATAATCCAGGACCAACGTTCTAGTCTTACACCATGGCTCAGATACGATTGAAAGTCTATGACTTGGAGATCTAAACATATATCTGAAAGCCAAATCTACTTGTATATAAACCATATCCAAACGTATATTTACGATAAAAAGCTATTTCTATGATTGAAATTGAATAATTGAAATACAATTATAGCCAAAAGCAGATTTTATAATGCAGATCCAATCTTATACCTACGACTTGAAACTGAATGTATGTCTATGTCATGATACCTATGACTCAGTATACCTAAGGCTTTTGATATATAAGACTTGAAACTGATAATACAGCAAACCTATATCATGATATAAACTTACTTTGGAGTGATCGCACTAAGTAAAGTTTTCATGGCGAATGTCACTCATAAGGTAAACTAATAGTACACTTATGAATGAAATCTGATCTTATGTCTATGACTCTAAATCCATGACTCAGCACTATTTGTATATATTCAACTCAGATTTGATAGTATGCATATGATTCTGAATGTATATATTAATATTACTCAGAACTGGTCTATGAAGTAAAAACTACGAATCAGACCCGATAGTATATGTATGACTTAGATGTGATCTTAAAGCTAAGACTCAGAACTGACCAATAAGAATATGATTTATGATGCCTTTTATAACATTCGAGAATCAGAACTTATAATAGCAATAATGAATCAGAACTGACCCATGCAAATTTGATATGTGGTAAATCTTATAGCATCTATGAATCACAACTGATATTATAAATGAGTGAGATCTTATCAGGTTTTTAGAAATCGGATCTGATTGTATATCTATGCCCCAGAACTGATCTATAAGAACATTGTTTATGAGATAGACTTTTTGTTACAATGAATTAGGTTAGGTTAGGTTGGATTAGGTTAGGTTCGGTTATGTTCGGTTGGGTTAGGTTCGGTTGGGTTCGGTTGGGTTAGGTTAGGTTAAGTTAGGTTGGGTTAGGTTAGGTTAGTTTAGGTTAGATTGGGTTAGGTTGGGTTAGGTTAGGTTGGGTTAGGTTGGGTTAGGATGGGTTAGGTTAGGTTGGGTTAGGTTAGGTTAGGTTAGGTTAGGTTAGGATGGGTTAGGTTAGGTTACTGATGGTATATATATGACTCAGATCAGATTCTATCGTACACTTATGACTCAAAACTGGTCGTACATCTAGGTAAAGTGAGTGAACGTACCACGTCTATGATCTGCATTAGTGTAAGGCCGAAACTCAGCTGCAGAGGGTCCGACTCGTTGGCCACAGGTCGCTCCAATACGTTGTAATGGTCAAGGAGGTTGTGCAGTAGACGTTTCTCGTGAGGTCCTTGTAGCGATTCTGGAACATGTGGGTAAGATTAATAATGATTCAGAGGGAAATAGAAGGAAATAGGGAATAAATCGGGTGTGTTGCTAGCCTAGTGGTTAGCGTGTCGGACTTCGGTGCAGGACGGGTCCTCCGGCACATCCACTAAACATTTATTTCTCTCAACCTCTCGTAAAATGCCACTGGCTTAAAAAAATAGTTCTAAGATGGTTATGATGGTAGGTTGTCCTTACTTAGGTTGTCGAACTTTTAATCGTAGCCACGTCGAAAATATAAACTTCTATCTCACCACTATAATATCATTACTGAAGGAAACATAGTCATTGGTACACATAAGCGGTGTCTAACACTGGTCGCTGGTGTCTAGAGCAAAGTTCAACACCATCCCTTCGACCTCATACAGCGCTCATAGTGGAGATCCTGTGTTCTGTGTGATAAGATTTGCAACACAGCTCGCCACTTGGGCTCTTCATTGCTCGTCACAAGTATATTTCAAGCACAAAATAATTGAGCTGAAAGCGCACGGTCGTCTTATAAACATGTTACCTCTACCTTACTTATCTGGAGTACTGTTGTTTGTAGTGTAATTTATAAGGAGCGTAACTAGTCTTAAAGTAAATGACAAAGTCACACAGACAATCTCACCCCTTTTCAAACTCACCTCGCATCCATTTTCACTTTAGAATGAAAGGATTTAATGTTAACCATAAAGGTAAGTAAAACTAGATAATCGACGAACATAACTTGGATTAAACAATTTGTAAATATTCTTCGTTATAATTTAAAAATAAATAAAATCATTGAAAGCAAAAATTCAGAATATCTGAATAATTGCAATGAAAATCGTAGCAGGTAGGTCCCGTTCTCATTAGTCCCCCGTTAGATTAGGTGGGGATGGTGGGGGTCCACACAGACCTTGATTACTTGTAATGACTTTGTTGTTACGGGACACCCTGTATGGTGGAACAAAGCAAGCCTTTGTCTCTCAATACCTTTACAAGTCTTGGTTGCCAATTATACTCTTGTCTTCCGTTGTTGTTAAACATCGTTTATAAATAAACCCGTTTGTCAACCGTATTCATTAAGTCAAGGTTACACATAATTACCCGTACAATGGTAGCTCTTGGGTTGAAGTTTGGTTGGTTTTCGAATATAGAATTGATTGTTCAGTGAGAAAAGGTACTTTATGGCCAGAATAATTGTATACTTACTTGTATTTTTAGACGCTAAGGAGAGGGTGTTCAAAAAGTGTTATCAATCTAATATGAACTTAAATAACAACTATACCTCAGAATAAAGATTTTCTTTTAAATATTTTTGTTTAGCTAACTTATATATAATAGTTTACAAAAATAAATATTTTAAGGCTTCACGATTGTTTTCACACCAAATAGTTTGTATAACAAAATGTGAACCATATTTAACTTTTAAAAGTAAAACAACAATTTAGTTTGACTTTCATAATTTTTAGGATAACAAAATAATAAATAATAACAATGTTTTTGTAATTTACAAACATAATAATTAGTCTAAACAAAAAAGTCAAGCAATTCAAAATTCCTAGGAATTCAGCATTAGAATCACTTTATACAAAACACGATGCTGAAAATTAAAATATAAATATTGTATCTTTTGATTAAATAAAAATATACATGTAAGTTCATAAGAATTTGACGACTATCAATAAAATATACGTTAGTCATATTTGTAAACACTATTTTTAGTTTATTAATGGTTACACCTCCACTAAACATATGACGAGCTACCGCATAATTAATATGCGGAAAAGTTGCATAACTAATGCACGTGGAAACTGATACTTGTGCTTTTTGTAAATAATGATGTTGATTAAGAAAAACAAATAATGAAGAAACAGCGAGCGCATAGAACCCTAGTGGGGTGATGAGTGTGTAACGGGATGAGGGGAGGGGGAGTTCTCGTTAGAATCACATTTACAACAGACGTCGACGAGCGTAATTTTCTTATTAAATTTATGTAGTTATGGGCCACCCTGTGTGTCATAAATCCTTACTTAACTGTGCAGTGTTCAGCGATTGCAGCGCTGTAGCGAACATAGTTCAAACTAGTAGTTGTTCGAATAAAACCTCAATATTTTGATACTCCCTTCTTTTATATCAGCTGTAATTGAAAATTCCCCCCTTTTTAGAGGCGTAAAGTGACTCTTTTCGAACCGAGCTCAAGTTTAATGACCGAGGTGAAGCCGAGGTTGGAAAATAAGTGAGGCTTGAAAAGACACTTTTTACCCATGTGATGAGACTATATTTTTTTCGTAATTGCACTATCATATAATCAAACAAAGTTAGAAAACGAAAATACTTTTCATGCAAAGATAACCTCTCAAAACGACTTCTGACTTGTTTTCAATATTTTTGATGGAAACGAGTTTGCGATAAGAATGCGATTGAATCATTTCGTCTATTACGATTGTGTTAGTGTACTATCGATAAGTCGAAATATTGACAAGAACAATTTAATCACGGATTGAATCAATCGATACATATTTTCGATACATGCGCAGCTACAATCAAAGTATACAATTGAGTTTGCACCATTTGACTTTTACTTCCTACGGACTAGAAATGCCTTTTACTCTCTAGGGAGTAAACTGGTTAGTTTAGACCTGCATCGAATGTGTAAAGTACACTTTTTGCTGCACAATGGCTTCTCTGACTAAAAAAAAAAAAAAAAAAAAAAAACGATTACTTATACGTTAGAAACATAAAAGCTAAAGTAAATCTACGAAACAAGGATGAAGAAGAGAGAAGCTGGGAGATAGACAAGTCAATTTGGCCAAGTTAGGCAAGTGGGACAGGCTAAGGGAAGTTTTAAACAACTTTTAGAAATTGATTTAGTCTCGAGCCAAAGGACGCTTGCTAGGGAAGGGATTTTGATTAATAAAACATTGGTTTGGGGTTTTTATATTTAACGTGAAACCATACACATTTTCAATACAAGATATTTGAATAAGTTACTGCGAGTCACTTACTAGACTTAATTCTGCCTGAACAGCCATACATATAAAATACTCGTACATAAGATTATTATTTGACCCATTTTAACTGGTTTTAAACAGTTGGATCAAGATGGTCTTTCCATTTGCCAAGAAGCTTATTTAGTTAAATTTACCAAGCAAAATTAAAGCAATGTATTAGACCTTTTTGGGCTAGATATTCTCAATTGTTTCCCTGCTTCCAGATTGTGTCTTAATTATCTCGTTACGACAACCAGGTGGCTTTTGTTGAAAAAATCTACAAAAGGAAAAAAGTTCTTTTTACCTTTTACACAATAAAAACATTCTTATAAGATTCCCAATAATAATCTAAACATGGATATCAAAGTAGCAAGAAAATAGGCTCTATTATGTGTAAGTCAACGAAAAGTGAGAAGATAAAAATGTAAATGCAAGGAATAGTGTTTCTAAGTGAGGAGACCGAAGGAAGTTAACGTCAATAAAGCAGTAGTTGGAATATTTAAAGTTTAACGTGATCACTGCTCTACTTTCGTAAACATAAATTTACATAAATGTGTACACTGGGTTTATGTATGTAAATTATTTTCTTCAATTCAACAATTTTCGTAGAGGATACAGTATAATAATTACCGTCTATATTTCACTAAAGAACCACATACAAGTGAATAAGTGCTTATTACCATTCTCTTGCCCCCTCCTCTATTAATGATTATTCACTTGACAGTGGTAGATTGTTCTACTGATAACTGACTAATTAAAAAGGGGAGACTTCTTTAAGAAAGAAAGTCCTCATCACACACACTTTTTACATAGGTGGTCATAAGATTTCGTCAGACCCCAAATAATTATATATCGGTCTTCCCCACACATATCCAAAATTTTCCACCAGGCTGAAACCACTGTACTTAAATTCTTTTTGAAACCAAAACCGAAATCTGTTTCACACAATTCCATATTAAAGACACATAAAAGTAGATGATTATTCTATCACGAATGCTAGAAAAGACCTGGTATGGATATTAAACATAAACAAATAACGTTTTTGGCCCGAAAGTAAACAAAACCATTTGTTAATTAATGCTATTAGTATAGGAGTTTTGTTTACTTTGGGCCAAAAACTTTATTTGTTTATGTTTATGATCCATACCGATATTTTCCTAGTATTCGTGATTACTAGTTAAAGTTAACAAGAATATAATTGGCAACCAAGACTTGGAAAGGTAACAAGAGACAAAGGATTGCTTTGTTCCGCCATACAGGGTGTCCCGTAACAACAAAGTCATTACAAGTAATCAAGGTCTGTGTGGACCCCCACCATCCCCACCTAATCTAACGGAGGACTAATGAGAACGGAACCTACCTGCTGTTCTACCCTTAAGACTGTTAAAATTTTGTTTTAAAATAGTTTAATTATGTGTTGGAATGATTAATACAGATAATAATTTTCACCTATTTTTTGCCCGTTTGTCAATGCCATAGACGAACAGGGATTCTAGCTACAATGTTTTTTATTACTCTGTGGGAAGATTCTACATAAATTGTTTTTAAAACGATGTAGTTTGACGCAAAAAACATGCGTATCTTTATCATATTATGAAATACTGTTAAATTTTATAATTATTTGTTTTATTTTGGAAGCGTTGAAGTTTTTTTTCGTTGATGTGACATATTTGTGTAGTTTCATGCGGGATGTTTAGAACTTGTATTTTGTATGGTTTGTAATGTATTGTATGCAGGGTGTTTCTAGCGAATTTTCCTTATAGAAAAGTAGCTATTACCATAGGTGGCACGGTAAGACCTAGACCCGTGGCCGATTTACTTCCATCATTCCGATGTCCAGACGCTAAAACAGTGTTCGTTCTAATAAATATATATGTGAGGTTTACAAGTTTTCAACAATTAAATCTTTTTAATACCCTTGCCACTCAAATTATCTGGACATTTTTACCTTTATAACATAAAAATGCCCAATTTTTATTACAGCCAACTTGTAGAGCATAAAAAAATAAATAACTCTGTA